ACCATTTCAGCTAATTTGAATACTCAGATCAAACTTGACACAAACCTGACTATCAGACGATTTGAATACTCAGATCAAACTTGACACAAACCTGACTGTCACAGACGATTTGAATACTCAGATCAAACCTATCACAGATGATTTGAATACTTAGATCAAACTTGACACAAACCTGACTATCAGACGATTTAAATACTCAGATCAAACCTGACTATCACAGACGATTTGAATACTCAGATCAGACCTGACTATCACAGATGATTTGAATACTCAGATAAAACTTTACACAAACCTGACTATCAGACGATTTGAATACTCAGATCAAACTTGATTTAAACCAGACTATCACAGACGATTTGAATACTCAGATCAAACTTAACTTAAACCAGACTATCACAGACGATTTGAATACTCAGATCAAACCTATCACAGATGATTTGAATACTTAGATGAAACTTGACACAAACCTGACCATTTCAGCTAATTTGAATACTCAGATCAAACTTGACACAAACCTGACTATCAGACGATTTGAATGCTCAGATCAAACTTGATTTAAACCAGACTATCACAGACGATTTGAATACTCAGATCAAACTTGACACAAACCTGTCTATCACAGACAATTTGAATACTCAGATCAAACTTAACTTAAACCAGACTATCACAGACGATTTGAATACTCAGATCAAACTTGACACAAACCTGACTATCACAGACGATTTGAATACTCTGATCAAACCTATCACAGATGATTTGAATACTTAGATCAAACTTGACACAAACCTGACTATCAGACGATTTAAATACTCAGATCAAACCTGACTATCACAGACGATTTGAATACTCAGATCAAACCTGACTATCACAGATGATTTGAATACTCAGATCAAACTTTACACAAACCTGACTATCAGACGATTTGAATACTCGGATCAAACTTGACACAAACCAGACTATCACAAACGATTTGAATACTCAGATCAAACTTGATTTAAACCAGACTATCGCAGACGATTTGAATACTCAGATCAAACTTGACACAAACCTGACTATCAGACGATTTGAATATCCTGATCAAACTTGACACAAACCTGACCATTTCAGCTAATTTGAATACTCAGATCAACTTGATTTAAACCTGTCTATCACAGACGATTTGAATACTCAGATTAATGATTTACCTCATTTACCTTATTTAAATGAAGTCCATTTAAGTAAAATAAAAGAAGCATGGTTTCTGAAAATAGATCACTTGATGTATCACTTTTAATTTCCTGTGTGACCCCTTAAAATTGAATTACATTTCCAATTTATAGAAACATAACTTGTGCTTTTGTTTGAATCGTAGTTACTGTATTGTACAAAAACATTAATTGTCATCGACAATTGACTGAGTGTGTGTGACAACATTGCAGAAGGTTAAAACTATGCATGAAATGTCATCAGGTAAACAGTCACTGTATGATTAAGATGGTGTAGAGACATTATAGTAACTCAAATATATAACCCTATAGGCATGTCTAGCAAGAGTTTGAATATTTTAAATATTTGTTATCGGATTGTGTACATGCTATGTGTTTTAATTATTCAATTGCTGGTAATACATATGTGGATTATGGTATTATCTGAACAGGCATCACAACAGTGTTGATTTCTGTATTCATACAAAAATCTAGAATTTCTGCTTGAATGCATTTAAGATGTTTGTGTGGGAATTTGTGTAATCCAACCTACATGTAGGCAATACTGATTTACCCAAGTGACAAGAAAAAACTGGTCACAGATTGATATGCAGCGCAATTAGATTTAGTACATGCTTTATGACATCTTATTAATGGTATCAGTTATAAGAGATGCTGTAATGTAAACAGAACTTTGAGTTACAGGCAACATACATTTTTGTTTGTTTAACGTTCCAATTTAGTAACCCGAATTTTAATTATAAGTTAACCGAACTTCGAATTATAAATCTACATCGTTAAACAAAACAAAAAATCTATGTTGCCCCTAACCCAAAGTTCTGTTAACTGTTTATCGAACATCGAGTTACAATTTGGGCGTGGTTTCGCAAAAGTGACGTGGTTTCTAAAATATGGGCGTGGTCATTTTGGTAACTCGATCTTTTCATAACTCGATGTCCGTAACTCAAACAATTATTATGCAGTATACTTCACCAACGATTTCCTGACAATAGGTGATTTTCCATACAATTGCGAGATCTCGCGAGATGCATGAAAGACGCGCGTCAAAGTCTGCCGAAAAAATCGAACGATTTGATTTTGAAGTAGAATTTCTTTATTTCGTAGCTCACATCGACCGGCCAATCTTCGACAAAAGAATATTGCTTCCGAATACCCTTACTTAATCGAAATTGCCTATCATCAAATGTGGACAGCACATTATATTAAGCATGGAAATGTCCTCCAAAATACTTTCGCATTTGTCGAATACCACGCGATGTTTGACGCCACTACGACGCTATGACCTTTGTTTGTCCTGTTTTTACGTTCGATTTAACTCATAACGCGTGATTCTCGCAGTGAACAGAAAATGGTCCATTGTTACAATCCTAACTATTAGTTAAATTATTGGTAACGTTGGCAAATTAAGTGAATAATCTAGTAAACATTATGTGAGTAATAATATACACAAAACTTAATGCTTGAAACTAGTGTTGAGTTTCTTGTATGCCGCAATCAGCAAACTTTGTGCAAAGGCAGCATCTGTAATGATTTCCATCGAGTGACTTATTAGTATTCCCATGCATGTTTGAATCAAGTCAAACAGGTAAACAGGTTACCTATTATCTATAGTGATTAATTCAACCAGAACCCGAGTACAGGTAGTACAAAACTACAGCCTAAGGCATGCAATTCAATACTTCCTATATCTTGAAAGTCAAACAGACAACAGACTGTCATAATCTCTTATTACTGATGCATGATCTGTATAGTCTGATCAAGCTTAACATTAAATCTGACATAATTTTTTTTCGCACAAGTATTTATCTTCATATTAAATTATTAATTTACAGGACCAGCCTTACATAAATATGAAAATTAACAAGTCATTCCACTGAATGCTACGTATTATATTACTATAATTTATAAATATTATAAATTTTACAATTCAAACTGAAACAAAAGATTTCTATTGGCTGATGGAATAACACTGGAACATTTGTAAAAAACGTCATTGCAAACTGACTTCAACAGTCGGAGAAATTTATCAATATTTACCAAGTTGAAAGGTTACAAATAGAAAATCAAGATTATTCAAAAAGATCATTTTATTTATGATATTCTTATGTTGATCAGCACACTGGATGATTTATTTTAATATATAACTAGCAACTTGTAAGAGTAGTCAATAATACATAAATGTCTATTATACAGTATCATCAAAGAATGAAAACATTGTAACAAGTTTCATAGTCATCTTTGGCTGTTTAGGCAAGATATTTGCAGAAAATTCAAGAAACAACTGTTTGGGTCAAAAATACAAAAACGGTTAGCAAAAGAAGACAACTGCTGATTATGTCACGAAATGAACAAATCCAAAGGCTCATGCACGTTCATTAATTTAGCAAGGGAATACGAGTATTATTAGATGTCAGGCAATCTAAAGACATTTTCCAACACATATACACATATTATATTCATAGTTGCAGAAAAAAAAAAATCACTGCTGTAGTATTCAAAGACACGTACATGTATTTGGAGTGAGTCAATCTAATTTGGTGCTATTATTAACCCTAAGAGCTGAAAAGAAACAAAAATGTTTCACCGGAATTTGTTGGGAATTGTTTACAACAATTAGATTCAAATGGAACTGATCTCAATTGCCGCTAATATTTTTTTTGTAAAACTTGCCAGCAATATCATCTGGACAATTCCACAGTGACTGACGTTACATTCAGAAGGGTTGGAAGTTATTTCAGTTGTCTTTATTACTAGAGTATTGCTTTGTGGTATTTGATACTGTGTTATTGAACAACACTTCCAGCCAAGCCCCCCCCCCCCCCATGATGTCAAATGGTTGACCCCTTACTCACCTATGTCAGCTATAATACTGCCAGGTTCCAACTGTAGCAGAAACTCTTTGACTCTTGGCCATGCTTTGTATCTTGTATCAGTGAAATGAGGAGCTATCTTTTCATAGACGTCATGTACATGTGCCTTCTCTAAGGCGATGGACTTGGCTTGACGATCCATCTACAAAACCACTCACCACCCACCACTTTACACATACTGATTATCTGATATTTTAGTAGAAATTTCATCTGATTTTAGAATTAGCCATCTGCAATAAAAATATTGACATCGGGTGTTGAGTGTGTTTGTCGTGTAATGCTGCACTATTCAATCAGTATAGTTGACGTCACTGTGAAAAGCAATCAGTAATATGGTACAGGCAAACAGACACAGTTGGAAATAGGATTTATACATAAACATGTACAAATGAAATGCATCCCTAAACAAACTGCAACATCTCAAACATCATCAACATTAGGATGAAGATATGCTTTTAAAAATAGAAACTACTTGTATATGCAGAGGGTGGCTAGTATAAGAAAAACAAATTTGTAGAGAAAATGAAATTACATGAGTGAGGTACAAAGTATGCGAAAAAAGATACAAATACTATATCTGTGCAACACTCAAAGAAATATTGGTTCAGCCCTTAATATAGATGTTACAAGATAGACAAATACTATATCTGTACAACACTCACAGAAATATTGGTTCAGCCCTTAATATAGATTACAAGATAGACAAATACTATATCTGTACAACACTCACAGAAATATTGGTTCAGCCCTTAATATAGATGTTACAAGATAGACAAATACTATATCTGTACAACACTCACAGAAATATTGGTTCAGCCCTTAATATAGATTACAAGATAGACAAATACTATATCTGTACAACACTCACAGAAATATTGGTTTAGCCCTTAATATAGATTACAAGATAGACAAATACTATATCTGTGCAACACTCACAGAAATATTGGTTCAGCCCTTTAATATATTTGTTACAATATGGACAAATACTATATCTGTGCAACACTCACAAAAATATTGGTTCAGCCCTTAATATAGATTACAAGATAGACAAATACTATATCTGTGCAACACTCACAAAAATATTGGTTCAGCCCTTAATATAGATTACAAGATAGACAAATACTATATCTGTGCAACACTCACAGAAATATTGGTTCAGCCCTTAATATAGATGTTACAAGATAGACAAATACTATATCTGTACAACACTCACAGAAATATTGGTTCAGCCCTTAATATAGATGTTACAAGATTGATGGACAAATACTATATCTGTACAACACTCACAGAAATATTGGTTTAGCCCTTAATATAGATGTTACAAGATTGATGGACAAATACTATATCTGTACAACACTCACAGAAATATTGGTTTAGCCCTTAATATAGATGTTACAAGATGGACATACCAAATTTGTGCAACACTTACAGAAATATTGGTTCAGCCCTTAATATAGATTACAAGATAGACAAATACTATATCTGTGCAACACTCACAAAAATATTGGTTCAGCCCTTAATATAGATTACAAGATAGACAAATACTATATCTGTGCAACACTCACAGAAATATTGGTTCAGCCCTTAATATAGATGTTACAAGATAGACAAATACTATATCTGTACAACACTCACAGAAATATTGGTTCAGCCCTTAATATAGATGTTACAAGATTGATGGACAAATACTATATCTGTACAACACTCACAGAAATATTGGTTTAGCCCTTAATATAGATGTTACAAGATGGACATACCAAATTTGTGCAACACTTACAGAAATATTGGTTCAGCCCTTAATACTGATGTTACAAGATTGATGGACAAATAACAAATCTGTGCAACACTCACAGAAATATTGGTTCAGCCCTTAACCTTTTTACCACCAGACTTTCTTACCCACTTATTCTGTACTTTATTCTTATATTTTTTAATATTTCTGGAAATGGACCCTAATTTTGAAGCCAACAGACAAAATTTGAGTAAATTTTTAGTTTTTACTCAAATAATTTGGCTATTTTCTCCCCATTCTCCTGAAGGAAAGTGCAGACTATAAACAGAACCATTTTGTGATGAAAAAAGTGAACTGGTGGTGAAGAGGTTAATACTGAAGTAACAAGATGGACAAAACTCACAGAAACAATCCAAATTGGCAATTTGTACAACTATCAGATATCCTCAACTGAGAGTTGAACTGACGTCATGGCAACAAACTTCAATCTCCTATGACACAAATAATTGGACTTAGAGACTAGAGAACTGGAACCAGATAAATAAAACCCCCAAATCAATTTGACTGATCAATACCAAGCTAGAGAAGTAAAGATTCCTGATGTGTGTGTCACTACAGAAAGACAGGATCTTAATCATTTTCCAACACCCACTTATATGATGTTTTATACACAATTTCTATTTTTTAGTATTATGCATGTTATAAAATAAAGCTTGCAAGACAAAATTGCTTTGTTCTAGTGTTTGTAATATGTCTTCTTTAATGGAATTAAGCTCACACAACGTATAGCACTAACAGAGGAAATGAAACACCCTTGCTGATAAGCTAGTTGTATCCATGTGGTGCACAGAGAGGAAATATTAAAGTAAAATAGCATATCTATTAAATAGATTACTTTCCAATAATCCTGCTCAAAATCGTGGAATTGATCGTTTCTCATCATCATTTTTAATAACAAAGTTATTAAGAAACCAAGTATTCTATTGACAATTTCTCAGAAATGGTAGCGATATTAGTGTTTTGAATTAATGAGATATTGACATGAATTGACTTTATACGACGTCAACAAAAATAAAATAAAATGCGTGGTTCCAGTAAACAATGCACAAGAAATACAGGTAGGTTAGGTCAGATTTTTTTTTTCCCATTTTTTCTTTTATCCTACATTTTCTTTTTGTTATAGCTTGCCGAATATGCTGATGATGTTTACATTAAAGTGACTCCAATTTGGTCAAATTTCTAGATACCAGATCCATTGAAGTCTCAGTGAAATCTTGTGTGATTTAGCACCATTTTTCATAGTTTGTCAAAAATAATTTAGGGTACGTTATAAATTTTTACGCTTACATTGAACATTGACCCGTTTTCAAAAATATAATTTGCAACAATAAAAAAGTAATGTGATTGCCCTTTACCATTATAGCAGTATAGATGTTATACGTGCCTAATTGTCTGGATTGACAAATTAATCTCAACGTTTAACAAATCCAAATGCACAAAACACAGATAATGAGAGACTGATTCGTGATCATGGTTTGACCATAGCAAAGATCCTTGAATTGGCTAGCTGCATGAGGTGAACAGCACAACTCAAAAGATGATATTGATGGAATCACAATGAATTTTCAAGAGCAATTGCCATAGGTGTGATCTGGTTGTCATGATAGCAACAATTTTGGGAATGATTTTTAAATTATAACTCAAAAACATAAAATTTTCATGAGGCTTGTGAAACTGCATTTATTGAAACAAAATGCCCACCAATCAGCCATTTTGAACTCAATCCACAAGCAAGTCATTGTCAATGACACGTCCCCGTTCCGTTCATATTTGAGTGACGTATACATTCAAAGCAGATCATGACCGAAATCTCAGACCACTTTCAGTGGTCTGATCAAAAATGCACCTACATATGTACAACACATTGTACTAAATCTGAACAAAATCCATCCATGCATGACTGAGATCCGGTTCCGGAATTGTGAAAATACGCGATTTTGATGCATTTTCGGCCTTAAAATGGCCATCATTCAGCTATTGTTAAGCAGATCATGAAACAAATGCACATATCTATTTGTGACATAATGTACCATGTGTGTGTGTGAAGTTTGAACTTGATCAATCCAGACATGTCTCGGATACGGATCCAGAACTGAATTCTTTAAAACAAAATGGCCGCCAGTCGGCCATTTCAAACCCGATTCAAAAAAAAAATGACGTGCATCAAGGTCCCATTTGTTTAATGTATGTACCAAATTCAAACAAAATTCGTCCATGCATAACTGAGATCCGGGTCCAAAATGGTGAAAATGTGCGATTTTGATGCATTTTGGGCCTTAAAGCGGCCGCTATTCGGATATCGTTAATTGGATCATGAAAAAAAAGCATGTGCATATGTTCCATATAATGTGTAATGTATGAGTGAAGTTTGAACTCAATCGGTCCATGCATGTTTGAAATGGCCGCCAGTCAGCCATTTCAAACCCGATCCCCCCCAAAAAATGGCATGCATCAAGGTCCTATTATGTTTAATGTATGTACCAAATTTGAACAAAATCCGTCCATGCATAACTGAGATCCGGGTCCGGAATGGTGAAAATGTGCGATTTTGATGCATTTTCGGCCTTAAAATGGCCGCTATTCAGCTATCGTTAATCGGATCATGAAAAAAATGCATGTGCATATGTCCCATATAATGTGTGATGTATGAGTGAAGTTTGAACTCAATCGGTCCATGCATGTTCGAGAAAGGGGTGATCACGAACGCACGAACGCACACAGGGCAAACCATAAGTCCCCGTTTTTGGACTACGTCCGAACGGGGACTAATAAAATGAGTTGCATAAAATTCCTATTATGTTCAAGGTATATACTAAGTTTGAACAGGATTCATCCATGCACGACTGAGATCAGATTTCGAAATTGTGAAAATGTATGATTTTGAGACATTTTTGACCTTAAAATGGCCGCTTTCAACATTCTTGAATTTGATCATGAAACAAATGCATGTGCATATGTTCGATATGATGTACGTGTGAAGTTTTAACTTAACTGAAGCATGTATGAGATTTGGCTAGATACGGATGGACAGACACATACAGGTCAATCAATAAGTCCTTGTTTTAGGACTTTGTTATAACGTAGACTATTGAGTATCAATTATATTTTGCTAGTGATTGCCAGGATAACAGAAATTTGGGGAAAGATTAAATATTTATATATATTAAACTCAAAAAGATATAGATGCATTCTGAGATTTTCAGAATGGGGACCAAGTTGTTGATCTTGTTGCCATGAAAACAAAAATGTTTACAATACCTATTCGTTGCCAAATAACTAAAAAAATAATAAAAGTATGGGAATTTGGAAGAGATCTGGAATGGGATTTTAAGGAATTCTTCACCCTTGCCTGTTAGGGTCCTTCCTTGAGTGAACAAACCTATTCAAGACTCAATTCAGTCCTACTTTTCAAAAAGAATTAGAAGCTTACATGACTAT